AAAAAAACAAAACAAACAAACAAACAAAAAACCCAACAAAAAAAAACCCCAACTATATCCATGACTGCATTTTCTGAAACGGAATCTCTGAACACCCTCATCCATTGTCAGACACATCATCTCTGATCTCTGTGTCCCTCTTTCGAGAACCCGTGGACAAGCTTTGTATTCAGCAAGGCAGCTCCAGAAATGATGCTGAAAGCCAAGGGAATGGGCCACATCACCACCACCCTGAGCTGTGACCCCAAAAAAAGCCTTCTGTGTGCCTTGGAGTGACATCAAATGCACACCTGCAACACAGCAGACCATCTTCTGGCCATTCAGAATCACCCTGCTGTAAATGTCACCAAGTCCAACCAGATCCATTTCTCCCCTCCTTTAACACTGCTGACCTCAAAGAGCAGAATTTTGCTCTGTGATAGATTCACATGATAATATATAAAACCAACCAAACAAAAAGAGCAGTAAGTTGTCATTTGAAGGTAACCCAACATGCCACGGCACAAGTTTTATCTCCCTTTTCCACCATATCCTGCCCAGAATCTGACCCAGCACTTGGAATCACAGTGAAATTTCCCTCCTTTGGCCTTAATCTCACCTGAGAGCCACATGAAAACCTGTCTCAAATACTGACCAAATGATGGTGTTTGCCTTCACAGAAAGCCTGGGCAGGCAAAATGCTTTAAAGTCTACCCTCTTAATGGTATATTTGATGACTAAACTTTATCAGGCTCAGCACCATGAAAGAGGAGGTTATTTCAACCCAGGATCAGCCTTCTGAACTTTAATCCTCCTTGTATTTATGCAACAGGGAAGTAAAAGCTGCTTTCCCACACAGAATCACAGTGGGACTGATCTTCTTGGTCACCAAGCCCAGGTACAGCCAGTGTTCAGAGGTTTCCCCATTTGCACCAGCCCACCACAAAATCAAAATATGGACCTGGTTCTCTCCCTGCTGTGTTTCTTCCCATCTCCACAGACTCCAGCTTCACAGATCTGCACACAGAAATGCCCTGTTTGAATTTCCATCTGTCAATAGCATCAAAGCAGAGCCACTGCTGCAATTCCAAGTGTACAAAGCAATCCCCTCATCCGGTGTCTTTAGCTCATTCCAGGGTGCATTACAACGGTGCCAGGGGAGCCTGGGCTCCGTCAGTTCAGCAGGAAATCTGCAATCTGCACAAAAACCCCCTGAGTGTCAATCATAGGATGTCCCTGCTCTTTCACAATGCATAATTTAGCTACTACACTTGTCAGGTCCTCCACGCCGCTCCTGCGCCCGATGGTGGATGTGGCCATGAACTCAAGTGTCACCAGCAGAGGAAAACACACATGGAAGTGAACAGGCCAAAGGACACCTCTTTTCCTTTCACTAGTCAGCAAAGTTTAGTTAGGCTTCAATTTTTAATGCTCAGTGGGTAAAAGGGATGAAGGATGCTCAGTCCGAGGGATAGAGGATGGCGACAAACAACTGCACTTAGGCATAGAATTTATTCCCTCCTGTGTCTTACCCAAAACTCTCTTCCTCCTCTGTTACCATTCAGGCTGATACAATGGGGAAATTTTAACTAACTGATGGAAAATCTACCTTCCATCCCACCCTGAGAGTGCAGGAAACAAAGGCTCCCACACCACCACAGCCCTGCCCCTGCCAGGGAACTCTGAAGCAGGCTGCCCTTCCTCATATGAATTACAAGTGCTGAAGGGCCTTGTCAGGAAGGATGAAAATTTCACACTCAGCTACATCAGGCTGTAGTTACCCACTGCTTACAGCACAGTTAATATGCAATAAAGAAGAAATCTCTGTCCCAGGACGTGACATTAGAGCTGATCAGTGCCAAAGCTACAGACCATAAGGACAGCTTCACACTTGCCTCAGCTAGTTCATGAATAAACATCCAATTCATTCAAATGAGTTCTATATTAACTAATTTAAATAATTTTCATTTTGCTTTGAATGGTAAACAGATCTATTCTGCCAGGATAGTTGAGTTTGCAATTCAAATTACACACCGATTTGTAATGAGAAAAATATAATTAATGGCAGAGCTTGAAGTAACTACAGTTTTACTCCTTTGATTTCCTGTGTAGGAGGGGGTTGGAGCATGAAGCTCACGGGCACACGTGCACTCACATCATCCTGCCATAAACCAAGACATTTTATTGCCACCTCAGGTATTCCTGGCCTGGTGACTGCACCATCACGTCACAGGAGGACAGAACATGACTTGACATTTTACTCACAGGCCACAGGCACCATGATGCAACTAATGTCACCCCATAAATAACAGAGCAGCAGTCTGCAAATTAATCAACTTCCTTCGGTCTGGATCATAAACTACAATTATTTGGCAGCCGCCTCTTAAAAGCTCTGTGTGTGCTGGACTTTAAATCAAGTTCTATTGATCTGCTGAACTGAACCAGCCCATTTTGTTGCATCTCTCTCCCATCTAATGAAATTCTTTGTCCCATCACTCCACTATTCTTGTCTGGCAGCACATTTACGAGATGAGCACCCATCAGTCCCACCTGACTCGTGAGCAGAAACAAAGCATTGTCCCAGTGCTGTCATCCTGGCTGTTAAACAAGTCCATTTTGGCAACTCTGCTTTTTAACCAAGGCCTTCAGCTCCTGATTAAAATCACAGCCTAATGACAGACAACCAGCCCCAGCCATGCTGCAGCCAGCAGATACAGCCACTGTAATCAAGATATGCAGAACTTTGTTGTGTTGTGAAGTTGCCTTCAGAACTGGGTCCGTGCAATTTAAAGCTGGTTTTTGTTTCTCCCAAAAGTCTGACAACAAAATAAAGAGGTTTAAAAAAAAATCTCCACAGAGTTCATAGAGAACATGAGTTTCTCTTTTACCAATGCATAGGTCCTATGATTCTTTAAGTCCTGAAGGCTGAGATCCTCCTTGGGCATTTGAGACACCTCATTCCAAAATGAGCCGAGCTCTTAAATGCTTAAATCTGTTTTGGAATAACAACCCATGCATTTAATTTCTTCTTTGAAAGAAATTAAATATTTAACTAAGTTTATTCACTGAAAACCAGAGTGGGAGTGGGAAAATAAACAAAAAAAGCCCCAAACTAACAGGGCAGCTGCCCACATCCAACACCCTGATGTCCAGATACATCACCCACCAGAGAAAAAGGGATGTAGGGCACTCTGAACACTGGCAGTCACTCAAGCAAGGCAATTCACACAGAGTGGCCACGACCCAAAGGGCAAATTACAACAGATCCATGAAAAGCAGTTGCCTCAGGTTATAAGGGAATTGTTATTTTCTATTATGACATTCAGTAAATTCTCTTACCCCCCCTGACCCTCACTTTTGAGATTTAGTCTGCAGCAGTGTACACCTTTCTGGTAACACTGATTGTAATCCACATAATAAAATGCAGTTTAAGAGGCCAATAAAATGAAACACCTCACCCCTCTCACATCAGCTTGATTTACTGGTACCAAGCCAAGAGATTTCTCAGCTGTATTTATCTTCAGGACTTCTTTTTTTTAAGCAATCAATCTTGTGTTTATTCAAAACACACAGACCAGAACAAAAAGACAAGTTTAGCTCACAGTTGGGCACATGCAAGGCAGGAATGTCAGCTTTGATTCAAAGACTGTGTCTACAGCTCACTTCAGGAGGAAGTCAGGGAACACTCACTCCAGGAGAATTCCCTCGTGGCACACAACTGGCACATGCACTGTTCCCAGTGGCCACACAGCAGAAAGGAAAAGAGTAACTTCAGCAGCAGAGCCCTTAAATGAGACTTTTCTTAAATGTATGCACAAGCTGGAGGCTGAATATTCATCTCTTCTTCCCTTGATGCAGAATAAATGGGATATATGGCAGGAATACTTAGGAGCAACACTGACAATATGCCTCTGCTTGGAGCAATGTGGTAGCAAGGATACACCACAGCTGCTCTGCTGATGCACATGGCCTATATACATTAATATGTATATATATTTATATTCAAATACCTTGGGGATCAAGTTGTATTATTAACAAACTGCTCCACATGGGCCACTCAGGAACCTGCAACACTTCCATTCAGCTTTTGTGCACCTAAGAGCTGCCAATCAGGACATGCCCTAACCAACAATGATCAAATTCTGCTATCTTTAATCACGTGGATCTACCATTGGATTTAAGAGCTGCCAGAGTCCGGCAATGGAAGGTTTTAAACTTTCAGGGTAAAACAGTTTTGAGTGCAAAGTCAGCTTCTGATTTTGGTTACATCCAAGCTGATCTTGCTTATTTTAGTTTGTTCTCACTCTTGAATTTCACCCCTCCTTTCCACAAGAACAGGACTTTTCCCCAAAGTGAAAATCCCAGCATTACAGTTCAGCAGTAAAAAGACATTTCCCTATGGAAGTGCCTTCTGTTGTCACCAACTAAGGCAAAAACTCCTTTGCTGGAGGCTGACTGGCAAACTGAATCCTGTGGGGACACAACCCTGCCCACATCACCCAACACCAGCCGAGGACCTGCAGTACCCATCCCATGTCCCATTCACATTCTCAGGATTGTGAGAAAAATCCCAGGATTTTTCTCCTGGGAAAGCCTCAGAGAAAAAGGGAAAAAATTCTTATCTCATTTGCTTCTCCTGTGTTTTGCTCATGTGGAATGTGTTTGGAGATTGTTTACCCATAGGTGATTGTTTCATTGAGTTGTTTTCACTCTTTGGCCAACTGGGGCCAAGCTGTGTCGGCACTCTGGAGAGAGTCACAAGTTTTCATTCTTATCTTTTTAGCACTCTGTAAGTATCCTTTCTGCATTCTTTAGTATAGTATAGTTTAGTATTCTTTAATATAGTACAATAAAGTAATAAATTAGCCTTCTGAGAACATGGAGTTCTCAGATTCATCATGGAGTCAGACTCGTCACTCCTCCCTTCATCGCCGCACCCCGCGAATACAACAATCCCAACCCAGCCAGAAACCTGGACCCCAACAGCAGAGCATGACCCCAGCAAAGCAGACAGAACTCACCCTCTGGAGGCATCAGGACCTTGTTGTTCTGTGTGCACCAGCCCACGGGGTGCAGGTCTGCTGTCATCACGTCACACCAGAAGTCAGCCCTGCGGTCGTCGCCGTAGCCGCAGTAGCGCAGCAGCAGCAGCTGCCCGCACGTGGTGATGATGGTCGCCACCCAGTACGTGTCTGGGCTGCTCTTGTTGGCCACCTCCAGCTTCATCCCTGGCTGGAAGCTGCTCTGAAGGCTGATTTCAACCTTGTAAAAAAGGAGAAAGGAATGGTGTTAACTTGTTCTGCTCGGTAGGGTGATCCCCTCACCTCCCCTGGGAATGCTGCCCTTGAAGAGCAACCCTGGGATAGGACACGAGCTGATTGTGCCTCTTAATCCAACCACCTCTTTCCCCATCTCTCTGGGCATTCCATTCCTACTTCACTGGCTCATATCCCATCAGGCAAGTCCCACAGGCTCTGAAGTGCAGGAGTGGTGCCTTCAGGTGTACTGCATCCAAGAGAGGTCTGGCACTCATCTTCCACCCCTAAATGTCACCAATGCCTTGGATACAGCCAGCATAAACCACATGAAGTTTCATTTCCCACATGCAGGAGTGGTGCCTTCAGGTGTACTACATCCAAGAGAGGACTGGCACTCATCTTCCACCCCTAAATGTCACCAATGCCTTGGATACAGTCAGCATAAACCAAATGAAGCTTCATTTCCTACTGCAGAGCTCCACCAGGCACATCACAGGACACAGAAAGGCAGGTATGGAGCACCTCTAGGAGTTAAGCCCAACTACAATATTTAGTCACATCACAACATTGAAGCATCTCTAGAGGCTTGACAAGCATCAAGGGCTGAATGCTGTACCAGGCAGACCAAGGAGAGGATTTCCACTACAGCCATCCTCAGCAGCTCAAGCCTCAGCCAATTCCCCCACGGAAAATGAGGTATGACCTGTCACTGAAAGAAGTAAATTCTCTGGGTCACTGTCCTCCATCTGATGGAGATGCCACTTCCACTCATCTCAGCAGAGACAGGGCACCTGTGATGTGCCTTAGGACACTGGAGATGCCCGTGCTTCTCTTTTGGGACACTGCTGCTGAACACCAGGGCCTGCTGCAGCATAACCTGTGCTCCAAGGACCAGTGGGATGCCTTTAGCTGCTGCTGCTGAAGAAGAGGTGGATGCCAGTGCACTGGTCAGGTGCCAGCCTTGTCTTCACAAAACCATCCAAAATGTAACCTGTCACTCTTCAGGAAACATTTAAGGACAGATTGTCACAGGTTTCTTACAACCTTATCAGCTACTGAATCCAGAGGGATTATAACTCTAGGTAAGCCTGTCTCTCATTGCTTTCCAATTGAAATGGCAGTTTTAAATGACTCTTTTATTTAGAAAGACAAATATGACATGGTCCACTTGCTCAACTGAGGATTTCACAGAGGTGGGGATGCCAAGCTGCTGAAAAAACATTCCTCTGGTCCATCAGCAGTAATCCCTCACCCATCCAGCTCCAGCTTCTGACCCAAGGGCTGCCCAGCCAAACCCATTTATCATCTGCACTCCCTGTACCTTTCCTGGTGTGGGCACTTCCAGCAGAATCAATGCCCAGAGGCACAGAGCAACTGAGAGGGACCCTTGAGCATGGTCTGACACTGAGGGTGGTGTGTGACATGCACTGCTTTACTCACAGCTAAACCAGGATCCCAGCAATGCTCAGAGTCCTCACAAATAATCCAGGCTACAGACTGGCCCATGTCCCAGTACAAACTGGATCTCCTGGCCTCCTCCCAGTGCAGAATTGCAGCTGCAGCTCAAAGCACCTGAGCCTGATGCCTGTCACAGGCATCTTTAATGAAAAAGCCTTTCCTTAGGAGTTTTTCCTCCTGAGAAGCTGAGAGGCCTCAGGAACAAAATGGAACCAATGGTTATCTGCTGCTGTGGAATGCAACAGGTGCATCTGGGATTGGTCTCATGTGGTTGTTTCTAATTAATGGCCAATCACAGCCCAGCTGGCTCAGACTCTCTGTCCAAGACAGAGCCTTTGTTATTCATTCTTTCTATTCTTAGCCAGCCTTCTGATGAAATCCTTTCTTCTATTCTTTTAGTATAGTTTTAATATAATATAATAATAAAATAATAAATCAAGCCTTCTGAAACATGGAGTTCAGATCATCTCCTCTCTCATCCTAAGACCCCTGTGAACACGGTCACAGATGCCTGCAGAGAGTGATTCATTTACTGTTTCTTTGGGGTTTTTTTCTGAACCCTGTGCTCACCATAACACCAGCAAGGTACTCTGGAAGCCAAGAAGACTTGTGACTGGAAATCACATCCAGAGGAGAATCAAGAGGAGAATCAGACAGGAAATACAATCTCCTCCAACAGCTTTTGGGCAGATTTTTGAGGATCAAGTTTCAGACTGTGAAGCAGTCACCAAGGGCTGTTCCCAGCACCAATCTGTCCCACACTGACACTCCCAGGACTGAGGTGCTGAGACACTGCAGTCAGCAGCATCAGCAGCATCAGCAGGGCATCTCCACACAATTAAAGACATCCTTAAGGGCTTCACGAAGCACAAAACTTTCTACTTTGAGCCTGGAGCAGAAATCTGGGACAAGATGCTCTCTCCAAGCAGCTGATGGATCAAGAATAAACTCCAGAATAAGCATTGCCCTGCAAATCTCCAGTACAGAGAATTATGGTGCTTCATCCTGCAATGCTCTGGGTTAACTGTTGTTAAAATGAAAGCAAAATAGGGAATGGAGGACTTTTCTGGTTTCTCAGATTAGATAAAATAGAGGGCTTTTTTTCATCCCTGCAGCTCCTTTAGCCCTACAAAACAAGCCCCAAAATCACCTGGAGACAAAGGTGGTTGGACCAGGTGATCTCCAGAGGTGCCCTCACTGCTGCTGGTGCTAGCACAGAGCACAGCACAGACCTGTCACTGCCACAGGGTTCTTAGAACCTTATCAGCTACTGAATCCAGAGGGATTATAACTCTAGGTAAGCCTGTCTCTCATTGCTTTCCAATTGAAATGGCAGTTTTAAATGACTCTTTTATTTAGAAAGACAAATATAACATGGTCCACTTGCTCAACTGAGGATTGGTCTGCTTGCTCAACCACAAAATCACCTGGAGACAAAGGTGGTTTGGACCAGGTCATCTCCAGAGGTGCCCTCAAATGCATTTTGAGGGTATAGAGAATTATGGTCCTTCATCCTGCAATGCTCTGGGTGAAGTGTTGTTAAAATGAAAGCAGAATAGGGAATGGAGGACTTTTCTGGTTTCTCAGATTAGATAAAATAGAGGTTTTTTTTCATCCCTGCAGCTCCTTTAGCCCTACAAAACAAGCCCCAAAATCACCTGGAGACAAAGGTGGTTGGACCAGGTGATCTCCAGAGGTGCCCTCACTGCTGCTGGTGCTAGCACAGAGCACAGCACAGACCTGTCACTGCCTGCATGCCCCATGTTCAGCCAGGAAAAGCTCCACCTGCCCAAGCCCCTGCTCCCCACACTGCTGAGACAGCAGAGATGGTTTCCTATGGGCCACACTGAACTCTGGTGCTCAGGGACTCTGCCAGGCAGTAAATCAGGCACTAAAAGGAGCTTTGGGGAACAACAATACTCCTGTAAGATTCATCTCTGCAGGCTGGCATGGACAACAATGAATGAAGAGGGGAAAACAGGCGAAGAGGAAAAAAAAATGAGTGCATTAGAAGCAAAAGGAGAGCAACACAACCCCTCAAAAATGGAAAATCTGATGCAAAAGCAGAGGATAAGGGAGTGGCACAGAGACAGAACTCCAATCTGTGACTGCAAACACACCAAGGTCACCCAACACCAGCTGGGGGCTATTCCCACTCAGGCTGCCACATTTGTGGAGGGACAATTTCTCCCCAAAATGGGAAGATTTCACTTTCAGTTCCCCAGGGAGCCCCTGCAAACCAGGAGAGGGAATGTGTACAACACCCCCAGGGCTCAGAGGGAGCACATACATGTTTGAAGGAGGTGTGGGGGGCAGCACTGGCTCCTGTTTCCTCCAGGAACTCGTCCCAGTTGAAGTCTGCATCCTCAATGCTGGAGCCCTCATCTGTTCAAGAGAAGGAAAAAAAAAAATTAAAAAATGAGAGAAAGAAAAGCAGCCTAAAACACAGCCAAAGAAGGCAAAAGTTGTGTCAAAGAGTTCAGGGTGAGAATAGCAACCAGTATAAACATCAACAGAAGGGAAAACAGAAAGCTTGCTTTAAGGATCTGTGTTTTGACCAGCTCTTGCTGTGAATTCAGCAGACTCTGGGCTTTTAGCAGCCAACACTGAGACCAGAAATGACTCTGCTTCCATGGCAGTGGAGGCACAAAGCTGTCACACACTGCAAGAGGCACTTGGGCTCCTTAATTTTGCATTTGGTGACTCCCAGGCTGTGATTTTGGGCAGTGGCTGCCTGCCCATCATCCCTGCTGCAATGTCCCTGTGCCCTCCAAGTGCTCCCCCAGCCCTGGTGGCCACAGCAGAGCCCCAGGGATAAATTACAAGATGCTTCTGTTGGCTGGGCCATGTGTGCACCAAACACCAACCCATGGGGTGAGTGAGACCTTTCTTCACTCCTGCCACCCCCTCTTCTCCTTCCTCAGCATCACTGCACCCAGAAATCTCAGATAAACCCCTTTTACAAGCCACAGCTGCTTCTCCCAAACCTCACTAGACTCCTACTGCCTTCTTATCCCTGCTCCCCTTCACATTTGGGGTTCTGGGTCCTCTCTCCCCCATGCACACCCCTGCCCCACAGCAAGGGCTGGACACGACCACTTTTTGTTTTCTTCCTTTAGAACCACACTGAGGCAGAGCCAAGGCCCCAAACCATTTCTGAAACTCACCCAGCAATAATTAAAAATAAATCTTCTTTCACTTACAGAAAATCAGCCAAATCTGATTGTTTTCATTTTGTTCCCAAGCAATCTTGCAAGCCCAGTTTCATCCCCAGAGCAAAAATATTTACAGTCTGGCAATGAGCTCTGTGCAATAAGCATTTATCAGGCAAACTCTGCAAGACCCTGTACCTGCCCCAGCATTCATCAGTGTGGTCATGATGTAATTAAAGTGACTCATGACAAACTGAATTAAGAACCCTCCCCAGACAGTTTTATGAAGAAAAAGGCTAGGTTAATTTATTGCAATTATTGCTACAGGTCTCCAGTTTCCAGGACCAGAGAAAATGATGTTGTGCAAGGGGAAATCTCTCATTATTAAAAGGGGAAGACACAGTTTTTATTTGCTGCCTGTGGCACCAGACCCATGTAGGTGAGGGAGAGAAAAGGGGAACAGAAGAGGGTTTTGAGACAGAGCTGGTTGAGGGTAAAGATCTGTCTGGGGGTTCAAAGCTGAGCTGTCAACACCATTAAACACTTGCACGCTGCTGCATCAAGCCTGACTCCTTGCCCTAAACTCAAATCCTCTTCTTAAATATGGAGATGCAAATCAACATTTACTCCAGTGATAAAGAGGCTACCAGATGACTCTTCAACACAGCAAGAAATAACCCAATGCCATGATTACAATCCAAAAAACAGACAAATCCATGGCAGAATAAAGAACGGGCTCTGTTTTGATTTTTGCAATCACTGCAAAAACCTCCAGGCTCAGAAACTGGCTCAACTTGAGATATCTGACCCAGAATGAGGGGTTTGTTCAACCTTGACTGAATGATAAGCCACAACTTAACCACAAGGTAGGAACTTGGTGGAAGAATTCTGTATCATGCAGGCAGGCAATTTAGATGAACAGGGATATTTGTCAGCCTTCGTGCCTGCAACCCTGCAGAGTTAATGTTACAAGAAGAGCTGTGTGCAGAGACTGCAAAGGCTGAGCCTCTAAAACCAAGTCCATCAGGAGGTGGGCAGATATGATTATCCATTCCAAGCTTAAAACTGCTTAAGCAACTTTTACCCTGAGCACAACCCACCAAAGGTCAGAAGCACCTGACGTGAAAAGCTTGAAGAGCATCATCCCCTGTGCCTGTGGGGTTGGGATGGGCTGCTCCAACAATCCCAAGGGCATCTCCACCTCAGGACATGGCCAGGACATTTGGAACAGGCTGCCCAAGGCAGTGGGGGAGTCACCATCCCTGGATTTAAAGGACACAGGGATGTGGTATGTGGGGACATGGCTTAGGGCGTGCTCTTGGCAGTGCTGGGGAATGGTTCTCAGAGTTTTCTTCCAACCTAAATAATTCTGTGATTCTGTGACTTCCAGGTCAGCTCTCTTCCCTCCTGGTCAGGCACTTCCATGCCAGAGCATCTCCCTTTTCCTCAGTCCAGGATGCTCTCTGTGTACTGTCAGTTTTTATCCCTGTTTTTGCTCTAAATTTCTGTGTGAGTGCCTCCTTCAGCACGTGTGTCCTTTCCTCCAGCCTCCCTCAGCAGCCTTACAGGAAAGATTCATTCCACAGAGGTTTTCAGCCAGTCCAGTGCATCATCTGCAGCCCTTGCAAGGAGCAAAGTCTCCAGGCAGGTCAGAGTCTTCTCTAGAATTTGGAAAAAGCTTTTTAACAAAGAGAACTAGATGCTAGTTATGGATGCATCGAGTCCTTCACAACCTTATTAACCCTGACTGTCGCAGACATCTTTAATGAAAAATCCTTTCCTTAGGATTTCTCCTCCTGAGAAGCTGAGAGGCCTCAGGAACAAAATGTCAACAATGGTTATCTGCTGCTGTGGAATGCAACAGGTGCAGCTGGGATTGGGCTCATGTGGTTGTTTCTAATTAATGGCCAATCACAGCCCAGCTGGCTCAGACAGAGAGTCCGAGACAGAGCCTTTGTTTTCATTCTTTTTCCATTCTTAGCCAGCCTTCTGATGAAATCCTTTCTTCTATTCTTTTAGTATAGTTTTCATGTAATATATATCATAAAATAATAAATCAGCCTTCTGAAACATGGAGTCAGATCCTCATCTCTTCCTCAACCTGAACACCATCACACCTGACCTGCTCTGCCACAGGCCAGCACAGAGACTCTCACTGGAAGGTTATTTCACATGCTGCCCAGCAAAATTCACACCACCACCTGTTTTAACAAAACACCACCCAGATCTCTCCTTTCTAAACCCAAATGAAGAGGTTTTTAAGGCCCAGAGGCAAGGCAGAGTGAGAGCTGCAGCCTTCCCTCGCTGTCAGCTCATTCCTCTCTGACACATCACCAGCCTGGCTCCTCCACCATGTTTTATCTGCAGACTTTATCAGGAAATTACTTTTACAAGGTCTGTAAAAATAATGCCAGAGTACTCATTTATCACAGCATCACTGGTTTATCCTGCTTCATTTCACCACAACAGATTCTGAAGGGACTGTATGTTTTCTGAAATGGTTTTTCAATGGACTTGGTTCCCTGCTGGAATTCTGGCAGAGCAGACACAGAGTGGCACAGGGATGGGACCAGCCCAAAGGACCCAACACCACCCACACATTCAACAGGGCTGCACACAAATCTCCTCATCCATCACAGAAACCCAACTGCTGAGGAGCACAGGACACCCTGGAAGGTGATAAATCTGCCATTAAACCTGTTTTACATACCAGCTCCCTTTCCAATTATTGGTACTTAGGTCCAGAGCTTTTTCTTAATGAAAGAGTCAAGGCTGGCTGCTTTACAATACGGTGATGTATAAACAAGCCCAGGATGACAAATAAAATCAACAAGTCATTATCTGAGAGCCTCTCAATGGCTTTAAAGTGCTCATGCATTGACATTATAAAAATGCAACTGTTCCAGCTGTTAACAGCCCCCTGGAACGTTCAGCTATGGAAAAGAAAAGGAATAAAAGACCCAAACCCTGTGACTCCAGAAACACTGATTTTTAGGGTTTTTTTTTTCCCTTCAGGCTTCACTGTAGGAGAAAGTATTTAAGGCAAATTGCTTAGACATCTTATTTATAGCACCTAGATACACAAACATGACTTTTTGAGTGAATGGAGCACTGGAATGCTCCCACAACAGGTGTGGGGAGACACACAGACACCTGATCAACCACAAACCTCTGGCACAGCCTTGGGAGAGCCATCAAAATCCTTATCCCCATCAAAAATTTAGGCATTGCAGGCCAGTTCTCCTCATTCCCAAAAAAAAAATGCCTATGGTTGGCCGACTGAATCTCACCTTAGAGACTCCTATCTCTCAAAATAGAAAAAAATAGATCCAGTGGTGACTAGACCAACCCAGATGTGTCCACTCTGGAAATCCAAGGATCTGGTGTCCAAGGAAACAGGAGAATCACTGAGCTGCTACAAGGAGTGAGGAAACTGAAGGCTGAGTGCCCAAATTTGTGACCTGCTGAGGGAGAAGCAGGGAAAAGCTTGGCTTGAGAAACAAAGTAGGTTAGGTCTAGCCATAATGTACTTTTCCATCATATGACACAGTCTCCTCCTGCTAAGGCTGGATGTGGGAAGTCAAAGCACCTGATTCCATCAAAAATCACCAGAATGTAGCATTTACTTTTCTGCATCTACCACAGAACACCCAAATTTAGCACAGCAGATCCTGACACCTCCAGGAGCCCATCCCAGAGCATTACAAAGCATCCAGTCATGAGCACAGGGACAACATGGGACCAGCTCTCCTCAGTGTTTGTGAAACCCCCTCAGCTGAAGCACTCCAAACAACAGTGAAGGAAATGAGGGGGAAGGTCAAAACAAAGGAGAAATGCTGTAAATTTATCTACATTCACTGTTCTGGAGTGGATGTAGATTGTTATTGGGATTAGGCTGATTAAGAAGGAGGTTTTGACTGTGTTTGTAATTGTGTTGGGAGTCTTCTTGAGGTTGTTGGATAGAAGTGGAAATAGGATATTTTCTGAGTATTTGTTCTGTCTCTCTTCACCACAAAATTTCAACAGAATAAAAAATGCTGGAGAAGCTGGGAGAACACAATGTGATGCCTTGGGAAAGGTTTTCCATGGCTGTTTGTTTAAATTTTGAACAGCTGATACATACTGCAGATGAGGTCCAGAAGAGGAAAAGCTCCTATTTCCCATCAGTCACAGGACAGAGTCCAATCCCTAAGACCCAAAAAAGGGCTTGGAGCTGTACAACCATTCCCAATTCCTCCCAGCTCTACCTTGAGGAGCTGCAGCAGTGAGGAGTGTAGCAGTTCACCTCTGGAAACCCAGGGCACTGGGAATATTTCATATTTCTGTGTCTGCTCTGGGGTACCCTGACCCCCAGGGCAGCACTGACTTTGACCCTCATTCATGGAGAAAGTTTCCCAGACTCAAAGATGGACTGGAATCCACAAAAGTGTGAAATAGATTATAGAGAGCAGTGCAGGTGTATCACTTGGTGAGAAATTTAGGTTTTGGGATTTTTAGTCTGTTGTGGATGGAAGCAAGATGGAGGCCACAGGGTGTCGTCCTGGGTTTCTTCTTCATGCTTCTTCTCCCTTCTTCTCCATGGGTTTGGGTGGCATTTTGTAATTGGGCAGAAAAGCCCCATTGCAGCTCTTTGGGATCAGTTATTGGGTTAAAAGGGAAAATAATCCAGGTGTCAGCTCTTAATTGGATAGTTTAGCCTTAAAAGCCCTTGTACCAAGAGATTGTTGGCCATTTTGTGCCTTCTAATGAAAAGCTGCAGAACTCACAGTAGTGAGACTGTTTTACTGATAAGAAATAATGAACACCTGAGTCCCAACATGAATTACTGTCTCAATGCCTTCAATCCAGACCCAGAGAAACCCAGGACTGGGACCCCACACTCACCTGAGTCAAAGTGCTCCCCATCACCATTGGCTGGGCTGGGATCCTTCTCTGGGGAGAGCTGCTGGGTCTCTCTCATGCTAGCAATGAAGGATGCCCTCGTCTCCATGGCTCAGAGAAAGAGGCTTGGCCTTCCTAATTCATCCTGCAGAAAGGAGGACAAGCTACAAGGAAAATTTAAAAAAAAAAGCAATGAGTGATTTATTGTAGACCAACCCACTCCCTCAGCCTTTCCCCATGGTTTTCATGTCGCCCCATGTTGATACAGTTGAAATTAAAGATCTCAGAGGTCTTTTACAACCTAAATAATTCTGTGACCCTCTGATGGTGACCCTTCCATCCTGCTCTTGTCTCCAGCCTGAAGCTGGGGTTGGATGAAAACCACAACAAAGGACCTTAGTGGAAATAATATAAGAGCAACAGCAAAAATAATAACAACAGAGAAGATAATAAGGTAATAAACAGCATCCAGAGGCTTCACATCTCAAAGTTCCCTCCAGCCCATCAACAGAAAGACAGGGATGACCCCAAAAAGCAGCACAACCCATGCTAAAAAAACGAACATCTTTAGCAACTTCCAGCCATTTCAGCCCTTGATTTCCAGCCTTTTAATGACTAACACTGTGTGAGACACATCTCACTCCATAAATATTCAAACTTCCAAAGGGAGAGATCTGTGGTAATGAAACAGAGGAAACACTGAAGTGAAAATACTCATGAGAAAGAGACTGGAGTAACTCTAGAAAATAAAACTGAGAATGCAAAATGCAGATACCTTCATGAAATAGTGCTGGCTGCAACTGTTTATTGAGTGAGGACTGACCTAAGGTAACTGTACCAGTTTTAACATGCAGGGCAGGAAATAGTAGCTGATTTTAAATTGGGTTGTGTTAGCAGAGGAGTTTCTCCTAGCAGGAGTGACCACAGTAAATTCAAAGCGGAATAAAAACACACAGAAATGAAAAACAGTATGAGGAAGGGCACAATGCTCAGATCTTGCATGAGACTAAATGAGAACTGTATTTCCAGCCACACCAGACAAGCAACACCCCAAGATACACCTTTAGGAGTAGATTAAAAACAGCTCCAGAGTGAGCTTTTCAGTAAAACTCCGAGATGCTGATGAATTACGAGGTGTCAAAAAGGACGACGGAAAAAGAAAAACCCAGAGCTGGGGTTATGGGCACAGAGGGAAGCAGCTATTCACACAAGATATGCTAAAGCCAAGCCAGGCAGCAGGGAAGGTGTGTGTCCAGAATATCTGATGGGGAGGACTGGTCCTGCTTATTTTATTAGAGGAGCCTCCAAACCCTGCATGACAAGAGGGGACTGTGCCAAAGGCTCGGCGAAATGTGTGACTAAAAGTAGGGAAGACGTTTACTGCCACAGGCCAGGCAAAGCAGGATGTAATAAGATTGTAAAAATAGATGGGATTTTTTCAACTTCTACTACTCTGGAGGCATATTCTAGAAGACTAGATATGATGGTTATAAAATAGAAAGGAGGAGAGTGTTCTGCTGTGGATTTCTCACTCCCAGTTTTTAAGGGCTGCTCCTATGGCAATTTAAAAGAAGAAATGGACGTGTGTGAGCAGAACTGAAATATCCATCAGCTGGACCATGGTGGGAATGTCTGCTGGAGCAATCACAGCTGCAATTAAAACCTGCAAAAACCATGGGTGTTTCACAAAAAGAATCACTGTGAAAGCAAATTAACAAGGCAGGTGATTCAACCCCCACCAAAGGTTTCTCAGGCAAAGTTAGAAATTTTTGCTTCCCACCCCAAAGGAATCTGCTAATGAAAGAAAAAATGAGTATTTTAAAAAATGAAGATCATAACCCAGCTCAGAGCAATATGGTTGTTGGTGTTTTCACAGAGTGCTCAGCAAACTTGAAGTACTCCCCAAATATGACCCTTTTCCCACTGCCACAGCACTACATCTTTATTCTTTGTTGACATGAGACTTGCTAATGAATTAAGTGTATTATAGACTCTGTATTCTGAGTGCAGCTAACCTCTGAACATACACATCACTCATCCCCAGTGTATATTAAGTTTCAATTAACCATGAAACTAGAAGCAGTCAGTTTACTGAAAGTCAAAAAAAAAAACCCCATTTCTCCTTTGATAGACACACTTCCGTAAATATCATTAATAATAAATTAGCTAAGTATCAGGACTTTACATCAAGCTTGTTAAATGTGAGAGGAGGGGAGATGCCAGCTGAAGCTAAACCTTGGGGAGATGTGGCTGTTTTAATTTTTGCCAGGGACCAGACAAGGATGGAAGAAAACCTGGGTCTACCAAAAAAATTCAAAGAGAAAAAGAGGTATCAATTTAAACACAACAAATCCATCATCTTAAAGAGAGCTCAGGGTTAACAATATAAATACCAAGAAGAAACATAATCCTCTCAGTATTGTAGTTAAATCTTGTGGTGCTTCTATGATGCTGATAAAACAGAGTTATGAGCTGACAAAAAGCTGAAGGTGCCCAATCAGACAACAACAGTATTTGCTTTTTTGTTTTTGCACAGCCCAAATCTGCCACCAGAGCCATGAGAGGGACTCAAACTCCTGGATCATGGAATTTGCTATCAGAAATGGAAAGTGGATGGGCAAATCAGCAGGAACCTGCCCAAGGTATCAGCAACACAACTGGGACCCATCCTCAGCAGCCCCATCTGGAACTGGCTTTGAGCCCACTTCAATTAAAAGGGAGAAATACACAATCTCTGAGGCACATTCAGCAACATCATCAACATTTTTGAGGTTTTAAACTCTATTTTAATGTATTTTTTGCTTAAGCTATGGACAACTTACTAGTTTTGAAATGTCATGTTGAGAGTATCCACCTCCCAAGGAAACTGGATCTATCAGAGGCCACTACTTGGTTTATTTTGGGAATAACAAGTTTATCAGTTATGGCAGGAGAGCACTTCTGTATTTTCCCAACAGGATGTGACAACAAGACCAAACTCTTATGCAAACACCAGCCTCAAAACAGTGCTGAGCTTTAGTGTTGATACAACTAACTAGCAAAGAAAGCTGACACAGGGTATTAATTTTTCACTTCTTATTAATTGCTGCTAATTAACACTTCAAACAGAGTCCCCAGCCATCCTGTTAACAGTAGCACACTGGCTGCCCTGCAATCATCAACATTACACCAGCAGCACACACCAGTGTACTCCCAGTGAAATCCACTGGAAACCAAATCAAGGTTTGCCTGGGAACAAGGTGATGGGAAACAGCACCAAAAGAGGCTCAAGGTGACATTACACCAGGCAGGAGCACAAAGGAAAAATCCTATGAAATGCATTTGAAAGAGCAGGGAGGGGGGAAATTCCCTGGTTTCAGATCCCTTGCTCATTGTTTCTGCACAGTGGTGGCTCAGACTGAGCCGATTCTTCCCCCCACGCAGCTCCCATTCCCTTGGTATTTAATTCAGATCCAGGCTCTTAACTCACAGGCAGGAAAAGCCAGGCAATATAATAAAGAATCTCTTTTATTTCCTCCTTCCCACGGCTGTCAGTCTCAGCCCTGCCTTGTCATCTGTATCAATATTGGCTCTTTGTACGAGCACAGCATTGGCTTCCTCACACCATTTTACACTTCTCATCTCCTGTCAGCTCCAGCCTGGTTTTCCTTCCTTTGGAGTGTTCCTCTGTAGGGAGAGGTCCCTTACCCACACACAAATCCAGCACCCCTAGGGTTCTTCCTTAAAGCTACTCCTGAAAAACTTATTTTCTCCCTCCAGTGCACACTTGGTTAATCGGGATTGACACAAGGAAGAGAGGAAAGAGGCTGAATCCCTGAAACCTCTAACCTGAATAGTGAACCAGGTGTGCCAATGTAATGCTGAGTCCTGAATGGTGGAGAAATAAATTTCATTGCTTTCCCAGTGATCTGGGACTGATTCTGGCCCCTCCAAAATCCAGCAACAGGCACTGACTGGAGATGGTGCCACCTCTCAGCACGGTGACACCTGAGAGCGGCAGCAGGGTCAGGGAATCTCAGAATGTCCTGAGTTGGAAAGGACCCACCAGAATCATCAAAATCCAGCTCCTGGCCCTGCAAAAGACAACCCCAACAATCCTACCACGTGCCTGAGTGCTGTCCAAACACTCCATGGTCTCTGTCAGGCTTGGTGCTGTGACAAATTCCCTGGGGAGGCTGTTCCAGTGCCCAATCATTGTCACACACATATTTTCTGAAACATCCTTTGCTAGGGTTTTTTCTCCTCAGAACCTGAGAAGCCCCAGAGGAAAAGAAAAATAATTATCTGCTGCTGTGGGATGCAACAGGTGCATCTTTGATTGGTCCATGTGAGTTGTTTCTACTTGAAGACCAATCACAGTCCAGCTGTTGGGACTGAGCAGTCACAAGATTTTATTATCATTCTTTTCCATTCCTTTCTTTTCCTTCTGATGAAATCTTTTCTTCTATTCTTTTAGTATCGTTTTAGTATACTAAATACATACAATTTTATTTTAATATATCATAAAATATATAATTTTATTTTAATATTATATATCATAAAATATATATAATTTTTATATTTTTATATTATATAATTATACATAATTATACATAAATTTTCATATATTATATATGTAATTTTATTTTAATATAATATATGTCATAAAATATATGTAATTTTATATATTTTATATTATATAATTATACATAATTTTTCATCATATAATATATATATATATATGATATATGTAATTTTATTTTAATATATGTCATAAAATAATAAATCAGCTTTCTGAAACATGGAGTCAAGATTCTCATCTCTTCCCTCATCCTGGGACCCCTGCAAACACCACCACAAACCATCCTCTGGGGGAAGAACCTTTTCCAAATATCCAGCCTAAACCAAGCCAAGAGAAAGCACATCCAAAGGATGACTGCCTTAATTTCAGACCCCTGAAATTCAGATGAGATGAACAACCCTCAGGGGGCTCCTGCTCTTGCTCAGCACCTGCTAATGTTTTAAATACCCAAATTTCCCAGCAGACAAGCTGCATCAGTCACAGGGGGGTTTGGGTTGGAAGAGGCCATGAAGATCACCTGGGCAGGGACACCTTCCAGTGAAGGGAGA